GTGAGTCACTTTCAGCCAATCTTCAAAGTTTCACCGCTATGGAGTTTTAATTGAGTGTATTTAGTATTCATTGGCGATTGAGTTTAAGGGATTAGAGAGGGAAATTACGCGGATATTCTCGCGAACCGTTAACGAACTATGCCTCTGGACCACTGAACTATCTTTGCTTTTCTCATTCTCTCTCTCTCTCTCTCTCTCTCTCTCTCTCTCTCTTTATCTCTATCTCACTTTCTCTTTCACTTTTTCTTTATTCCTCTGTCACTCGTTATTTGTCGCGCACCAAATACGATAACCGATAAGATGCTTCCATAGTTTGTTCGCTATTATAAAAGAACTCCCTCGCAGTTTCTTCTTTCCTTCCACTTGACTATTTTACTGAAAAGCCTCTTCTCTATGCCTTTCACCCTCTCGAAGAATTCAATAACGGCATCACCGATTGTCAGAATCGTTCTAGTGGAATTCCATGATGACGCAACTTATAATATATAAATATATGTCCATATGTATGCATATATGTATCTACCTATGTATAATCATGGGTCATCCGACGAGATACATATATACATATATATCTTTTTCCTATTTCGATGTATATATCATTTTGGTTTTCTTTATTATATTTTTTTCTTCTTTCAATTTTATGAAACGACGAACATTTTCATGATCGATCTTATGTAACATAAAGAAGATATATATATATATATAGAAAGATATCTTTGTTTTCAAGATACTTTTCTATTATATTTTATATATTTATATTCTCTATTATTCTATTCAAATGAGAAATATAATTAAAGTATGTACAAACGTGAATAGTTGATTCATGGTATATTATATTTTATCGAGTTTTGGATCGTTTTTCGTAGAAACATCATAATCATTAAGATAACAACGTATCGAATATTATTGCGCGAAATTTTGTCCCACTTTATTATCTTCATCCCTTTTAAATTCGACGTAATTAATGTTTATTTATTTCATTGATTGTTATCGTTGATAAACAGAGCATAAACGTTAAGTTTACGTATCGAATACTTTTTCTTTTTCTTTTTTATTTTTTTTATTTTTTTTTTTTTTTTTTTACAAAGAATTTATCTTCATTCGCAATGTCAAAAGTTCAAAAGATACTCGAACTTTTTCGTTAACTGATTCTTTTCCTTTTCAATTGTCTCCTACGAGAATTCGAGCTTTGTAAACGGGGCCGGGAAACTTCGTGTGTTATGGCACGGTCCCTTAAGGACTCTTCTTGTAATAAGGTACGAAATGTTTTCTCGCGAAATTTTAACTCTTGGGAATTTCCGAGAAAATACATGCACACGATGAAGAAGAAGAAGAAGAAGAAAAAGAAGAAAAGGTTAGGTTAGGTACCTTGACATTAGAAGGTCATTATTTAAAGTAGGTCGTATATATTTGGCTTCGTTGATATATCCCGTACCCCCTGTCTACTTAATTTTTAAATTTCGAGAGATCGGTGAATTGAGAAGATACTTGAAAAGTAATAAATTTCATCAATATTTTTTATACTGTGATTTCTTTCCCCTTCTCTTTTTTTTCTTTTTTTTTTCTTTTTCTTTTTCTTTATTCCTTGCCATTCTTAAGTACCTTAAAATGGATCCTTTACATTTACCTCGTCTCGAGTTTCATGCTAAGTCTGTAAACCTTGAGAATGTGAGAGAAAAAGAGAAGAGAGAAAAAAAGAGAGAGAAAGAGAAACACAGAAAGAGAGAGAGAGAGAGAGAGAGAGAGAGAGAGAGAGAGAGAAAAGGAGAGAATTGAATTTTCAAGCGGCTTATTCATAGGAGCTTCTTAGAAAAGCGTAGTTCCCCCGAGTCGTGTATTATATTTTTCCTATTTTCTTATCCCACGACGACACAACAAGTTTCCCTTTATATCTTTACGACATATACTTTCGCTCGACGTTTTCTACTGCTTCGATACATGACGAAAGTATTTACGATAAGAACGAAGTACCGTGAAACCCAACCCAGTAAGAAGGATTATGATCTTTGTTGAGGTAGAGACATCTTAAAGGTATCTTTGTCTTTCTCTTTCTCTCTATTTATCTACCTCTCTTACTGCTTATTCCCTTCATTTCGGTCTTTTTGCAAATCCCTTCATCCACGTGTACCTCTGTCGCTCGTTACGTGCTACATTAAAAGAAAGAAAAAAAAAGAAAAGAAAAAAAAAGGGTTAAAATCAAAAATGGTAACTTCTTATCTTTCCTTTTCAACGTTTGCCCTTCGTCCTTTGTTATCACAATACGAAAGAATGATTTAATACAAGTCATTTCGTACCTTTCATACCATCCTGAATTAGGTTTTAATATTTTGGTCTCTTTGAACATCTTCTCTTTCTCTCTCACTCTCTCTCAGTAAATCATTGAACTTTTCTTGAACTAAACTAACTTTTTATCACTTCTATCGTTACTTTTGCAAATTTTATTATTAATCTTTCCCTTTAAATGGCAAGAATTATTATATAGGTAATATGAAAATAATGAAGGACTTATGATTACAGACAGTTCGTTCTTAACAATGTGAATGGTTAATGACGAATCCTAACATTTGACACGAAGGAAAGAAGATAAATATTACGATATTAAGATACGATAAGTAGCTTAATGAAAGAAGGATAATACCTCGGAATTATCGTGTATGTTATCGGTTGGTAGTTTTCGTTCTGAACGCCATTACTCGGATGAAAGCCAGTAGTGAAGCTTTGGAAGAACATCAATGGCGAACGTAGCAATTCATTTGATCGTGAGTTCAAATGTCAAAGGTTATCAATCAGAATGAATAAGCTCGAATACATCGATAATTAATAATTATTTATTAGAAAGATTTCTCGATGCACTTTTCAAGTAATACATATGTACTAATATCTACTGTCATTGATGATTTATCATTGAAACGTAATAGTAGAGACAATCGGATTGATATCTGATGTAATCACGAAAGTTCTTATATTTGATACCATTTATGGAAAAATGTTTACACGTTTACTCGCTAGACCATACAAAAAGGAAAATCCTAAGGAAATATGTACACGCTTATATAAACGAGAGTCTCTGAGAATGTCCAACGTGAAAGCGAGGCCTTTGTTGTACGCTTGAGTTCGTAGAAACGAGCGAAAAGCAATTAAATAGTTCTGTGTTGCCGAGATATGGAGATAGAGTAATTTAATTTGGCAGCGAAGCAAGGTTTCTCCCATCCTCATCTTCTCTCTCTCTCTCTCTCTCTCTCTCACTCTCACTCACTCACTTATTCTCTCTCTCTCTCTCTCTCTCTCTCTCTCTCTCTCTCTCTTTCTCCATTTCTCTTCCTCTGTCTTTTACACATCCTTTACCACTTCCCTTTGCGAACTCCCACTTTGCAAAACAAGCGATAAGAAGTTCCTCTATTCGGTAAAGTCGCTTGGTTCTTTCACAGGTCGGCTAACAAACGAGCGGAAAATTTAACAAAGACCTTCGGGAAAAGCTTGTCGACAATAATAGACGACGTAACAACAATGACGGGGCAACAACGCGACATGTCTGAATTTTTTTTATTCGAATTTGATAGAAACGTTACGAGCATTAGACCATACGGAAGTACCGAAAGCAAGTTAACAGGAAGAAAATTGGATCTCTTTCTTTTTCCCCTTTTCTTTTTCCATTTCTTTTTCTTGTTTTTTTTGGGGGTTGGGAAGGGATGTGGGGTGGGGGGAGGATGAAGGATGAAACAAAATGAAAATGGAATAAAACGAGAGAGAAGATGTAATTCCTCGTAAGATACACTTTTGTGCGGGGAAACGTCCGAGTCCCTTTCGAAACTTTACTTCCGCGGTACGAACTTCGTGCAACTCAGAATAATTAATTGTAAGAGGTAATGCAGCTCTAGGAATTCATTTCGTGATTCTATGACTTTTAACGTTCGTCTTGATGGTATTAAACTCGAACTATTTCCGTTAGAAACTTTTGATTGATTTCAAATTTTAATATATTTATGTACGACGATCTTTTATTTATCCATATTTAAATGATTATTTTCTACAATATATCTGTCATTAAATATTCGTACGAATATATGTATCTGTATTTTTTATTTTTTTTTTTGATTCTTCTGAAATAATTAGTACAGAATATTAATATAAAATATTAATATGTATATATATATATATATATATATATATATATATATATATATAAGTATATATGATGTACCAGATTTAAACGATCAAACTTTATCGGTATATTCTATAATTAGAAATAAGAGAAAGAAAATGTTTGTATAAACATATATCCACGAATGCTTTATAAAAAAATTATAACAAACATATGAAAACTAAGAGCATTAGCGAGTTCGTTGTTAATAGATCATAATGTAACAATAAACCAACGGTATTAAGAATTAATTGAAAGGATTAGTGATGCATTTACTGATGTAAAATAAGCATGAAATTCGGAGAGTGATAAACTCAATCTCTCTTATAAAGTCAAGCTTGAATTCGAAATGAGAGATTGCCTTTTTGAAATGGAAACATAAATCAACTTAACAATATTTGCGTTTATAAATTGCGATATAAATTGTGTTTTTATTAAAAGTAAAAGACATTTTTTCTAATTTCTATTCAAAAAACATATTGATGAAATTTGATCTCTCTCTCTCTCTCTCTCTCTCTCTCTTTCTATATATATATATTATCTCGATTATAACTTTTATGTAACCATCTGTTTAACAAATTATGATTCTAATGTTAAAATAAATATTATTTATATATTTATATATTCTTTTAAATTAAGTAATCAAGTGTGGACATATACATATATTAAATAAAAGGATATTTATTATTAATAAATAATTAAAAAAAAGATACATATATATGTAAATAAACAAGAAAGAATTTTATTAATTAATATTTTTCTTATCTAATAATTGAAATATAAAAAGGATTATTTTTTTAAAACGAATTAAATTTATCAACATAATAATATCAACGTTATCGAATCATAGTGTAGTTTT